TATAGTACTACTACTACTACGACTACTACGACGACTACTACTACTACGACTACTACTACTACTACTACTACTACTACGACTACTACTACTACTACTACTACTACTACTACTACTACTACTACTACTACGTCTACTACTGCATTGCTACCGCTACTACTACTACTACCACTACTACGCGTGCCAGTACAGTTCCTATTCTTTGTATTCCTACGACTGCGACGGTTACACCTGCGTGTAGTGCTACGACTATTGCTACTACTGCGACTACTTGTACGCTTTCTATTCCTATTCTCATGTGCGCGCTACTGCTACCATTATGACTACGACCACTGATCCTCATACGACTATCACCACTACGAATTCTACAACTACCATTATTACTACTACCACTATACTTCCAATTCCGACCGTTACATGACCCCACAGCCAACATCAGCAACAACACCAACTACTCTTACTACTACTACTACTACTACTACCACTACTACTACTACTACTACTACTACTAATAATAATAATAGTACTACCGCTGCCACTTCTATTATTCCGAGCATTACCATTTCGACTGCTATTACTACGACTACTACGACTACTACTGTACGACCACTACTACTACTACTACTACTACTACTACTACTACTACTACTACTACTACTACGACCACTGCTGTTTTCGATACCCTTACTACTATTACGAGCACGATCCGTATTATCACCACCGGTACCATATCCAGTATTATTATGATAAACGCGACCGTTACTAAAACAATGCCTGGCACGGTTACGATCACCTCTATGGAATGGGAGGAAGAAAATTGGCTTTGCGAAGGACCCAACCATACGCAGTTGTGAACGCCGCAATTGTGGAAACCATCTCCGCCCGCGCTCCCTATGTGGCCACGGCTTCCCGCCAGAGCCCGACATGCTCAGGGACACGTTCGCGGCCGTCTTCGCGGGTGCCAACGACGAAGAGGACGGCGCCCCCCCCACCGAGGAGCAGAAGCAGAAGAGGGCTTTGAGAGCCATGCGGGGAGCTGCCACTGGCACCCCTCATGGCTCGTGGTGTCGGGTCCTGGCACCCCCACGAGGGCCTTCGGTGGAGCACCCTATGGGGCCACGAAACGTGTGAGGAGTGCGCCAATCGTTGTGGGTACCGCAGGCGAGCTCCGCCACTGGGACCTTAGGTGGAGCTCTCTATGGGGCCACGAAACGCGCGAAGGGCGCGCCAGGATGGGGCGGGTATGCCAGGCGGGCTGCGCCGCTAGGGCCTTAGTTGGAGCTCCCCATGGGGTCGCGAAGCGTGCGGGGTGCGCGCCAGAATGGGGCGGGGGCGCCATGCGGGCTGCGCCACGGAGACCTTAGTTTGAGCTCCTTACGGGGCACGAGAAGTGTGAAAGGGGTGCGCCAGAGTGGGGCGGGGATGCCATGCGGGCCGCGCCGCTGGAACCTTGGGTGGAACGTAGGAGGGAGGGAGGAAGGGGAGGAGGAAAGGAGGAGGAGGAGGAACGCGGGGCACCGTCTCTTCAAAACGAGGTCCCAACACTACAGGATGCTTGGGAAACGAAGGACCCAGCCATAAGCAAATGTGAGTACCGCAGGGCAGGCGGGACGAAGCAAGGTGAACTCCCACTGCGGCCACGAACCGTGTGAGGGATGCGCCAACATGGGGCGGGGCCGCCATGCGAACCCTGCCACTGGGGCCTTCGGTGGAGCTCTCTAGTGGGCCACAAACCGTGTGAGGGGTGCGCCAAAATGAGGCGGGGCTGCCACGCAAACTTTTCTACTGGAGCCTTAGTTGGAGCTTCCTTTGGGGCCACGAAACGCGCGAAGGGCGCGCCAGAATGGGGCGAGGATGCCATGCGGGCTGCGCCATTGGGACCTTGCTTGGGGTTCCCCATGGGGCCACGAAGCGTGTGATGGGTGCACCAAAAATGGAGCGGCGATGCCATGCGGGCTGCGCCATTGGGGCCTTACTTGGAGCCGCCCCCCATGGGGCCACGAAGCGTGTGAAGGGTGCGCCAGAATGGGGAAGGGATGCCAGGCGGGCTGCGCCACTGAGACCTTCGTTGGGGCTCCCTCTGGGGCCACGAAGCGTGCGAGGGGTGCGCCAAAATGGGGCTGGGATGCCACGCGGGCTGCGCCAGTGGGACCTCAGTTGGAGCTCCCAATGGGGCCACGAAGCGTGTGAGGGGTGCGCCAAAATGGGGCGGGGATGCCATGCGGGCTGCGGCACCGGGACTTTACTTGGAGCGCCTCTGGGGCCACGGAACGGGGTGCTGGGTGGGTGAAAAGCAGGGAGGAGGGAGGAGGGGGAGGAGGGAAGGGGGAGGAGGAGAGGAGGAGGAGGAGGAACGCGGGGACCGTCTCTTCAAAACGAGGACCCAACACCACAGGATGGTTGGGGAAAAAAAAGGTCGCGACGGGTACTAGTACTATTGCTGGCACTTCGTTTATAAGTACGACGGTTACTACGACAGTGCGTGCAGTTGTTTGCGGTCCGGGAAACGTATGGGGGTGCGTGGGGCCGAGGACACCGCCATCCAGGATTGGATCAGATACGACAGCGACGAGACAGTCGAGGCCAGCGCTGTACGTCCATGCTGTTCTCTTGTGAGAGGTGGAGGGTGCAGCACGCGAGCAGCACGGGATAGAGCCGGAATGCATTCTGCTCCCTGACGGCGTGACATATCCGCATGTGTTGTGCGAGCGTTACGAATGCCACTGTTGTTAATAATCCTATTCCGTCCCGTCCGTTTCAAATGCTTATCCTGAACCAAGTTGCGTGTTATGCTTTGATTTTTGGTGTGTTCGACAGTTGGATCGGTTATGACCACCACGTTGTGGTGGTGTTTGCAATTGGTCCAGTTTCGCCCGTCGGTTGCCCATGTACATTGCCGATGATGTATGTTTAGGAATCGATACATGTCGTCCCCGGCCCACATATATATACATTGGGAGAGAGAGAGAGAGAGAAAGAAAGAGAGAAAGAGAAGAGAGACAGTGATACCGAATGTGCGGTTTGCTTTCGATTGCTCAGTTTTTTGTTTGTTTTGTTTCTCTCTCTCTCTCTCTCCCTCTCTCACTCTCTGTCTCTCTCTCTCTCTCTTTTCTCTCTCTCTCTCTCTCTCTCTCTCTCTATATATATATATATATATCGTTCTTTATGTTTGTTTGTGCCCTCTCTCTCTCTCTCTGTCTCTGTCGTTCTCTCTCCTCCCCACTCTCTGTATATATGAATACGGACATACACATCGCCTTCGGCCAATCTCTGCCGTACCTAGGGTGTGGGTCCGCGGCCTCCTGGATGCGCCGCTTGGGGGGGCCTCCTAAAGGGGGCTGCCGGCGGTCGCGGGGAGCATCTTGGGGCGTGGAACGTGTTGGTTTGAGGTTCCCCTATTGGGGCTCTCTTGTGCTGTCTTTGATGGGCTTGTTTTCCACCACCACCACCATAAGTTGGAGGGGGGGAGGAGGTGGAGGAGGAGGAGGAGGAGGAGGAGGAGGAGGATCTCCCCCCCGTTCTACTTATGGTGGTGGCGGCGGGAAACAAGCCCACCAGCCTCGGGGGCCTCTTGCGCCGCCTGGGGGCCCTCTTTCGAAGAAAAACAGACGCCATAAACATACACTTTATGCGCTCCGCGCCGTTTTCTTGGATCCGCGTTGGCCCCCCCCCCCCCCCCCCCCCGGCGGCGCCTCTGGCGCCGACCCTGGCGCGCTCTCCGCGCCAGGGAGGGGGTTCCAGCGTAGATAAAAGAACTCCGCGCGGACCGCCGACAGTTTTTGTTTGTGGCGTTTGTTATTCTTTTATTTTTGCAGGTTTTCTTGGGCCGATCTTGGGATTCTTTGGTGCGATCTTCGGGGCATTTTTTTTTGTTCTCTGGGAGCATCGGACGCCCTGAAAGGCGAGAGGTAAAATCAATGGAACACATCTTGACGGGAATCAGCGATGTTTGCCACTTCGGGCCCTCGTGGGGGTCCTCTTGGAGCCCGCTTGGGGCGTCTCGGGGGCCGTGGATCGTCTTGCGACCACCCTGGGCTTCTCGGAGCTCATCTGGTGCGTGTGGGGGCCCTCTGGGACCGTCCTTCGGCGGCGAGCGAGTGGGGGAAGTGAGACAGAGAGGGCCTTCTCAGAAGACGGCGGGGCCTCCCAGATGGCCTCGGGCCTTCTGAGAGGTTCTCTGCGTCTTCGTGGCGGGCTGAGAGCACTTCTCTTGGAAGGCCGGGGGAGGGGAGGGGGGGGGGGCCTCCGAGCCTTCTGGGAGGGCCCGCCCCTCCCCACTTCCCCCCGGGCTCGCCGCCGCATCTCCTGGGAGCCTCGCGGGGTCCTCCGGGACGCGTCGCGGGCCCCCCGCGGGGGCCCCGGGCTGAAGTCCGCACGACGTGTGGCGGAGCGCGCTCCCGAGCGCGGCCCGCAGGGCCCCAGAGGAGCGCGGGGGCCGCCGGGCCCCCGAGGGAGCACGGGCGGGGGCCGGGGGCAAGGACGGGCGGCCCTCCCAGAGGGCGCAGCCGGCCCGCAGGGCGAGGAGGGGCAACCTGCCCAAGGGCACTCCAGATCCTTCAAGAAGCACCCCCTCCTCCTCCTCCTCCTCCTCCTCCTCCTCCTGCTCCTCCTCCTCCTGCTCCTCCTCCTCCTGCTCCTCCTCTCCTCCTCCTCCTCCTGCTCCTGCTCCTGCTCCTGCTCCACCTCCTCCTCCTCCTCCTCATCCTCCTCCTGGAGTGCCCAAGGGCATTTCAGATCCTTCAATGGGTCCCCCCTCCGTGCCAACCTGTCCGACGCCCCCTGCCCGCCCCCCCACGCGCCCCAAACCCAGCCCCTCTTGCTCCCCAGCCTCCCCACGCCTGCCTAAGGACAGCGGTTCCCCACCCCCCCACGCGATGCACCCATACCACGCTTTTTGTTGAGAGACCTGGAGTACCCTTGCATCCTTCCCTCCTCGGTCGAGCAACGTCAGCACGGGGGCATGCAAGGCGGCCCTTTGCGCCCTTGCCGCGCCTCCTTGTGCTATTGTACGGGTGGACTGTGCACGCCGGTCGTAGAAAGCTCCTGCGCGTTTCCAGCGCCCTGCTCCTTCATGGTTCAAACTGGTTTTAAGTCGGTCGTGTCCCTCTATGGGAGGGGAATTCAAGAATAGTCAAAACATAGTCTGGGGACGATTGTTTGACTATTTTGGCCCATTTGGTTCTGTATTTTTCGAATGTCAATGAAAAACAAGCAATCGCCCTAAATCCCCCTGTAGGGGGACACGCCCGATTGAAACCTACTTCTTCCGTCCGACGGGGTACCCTGACTGGACTTTGGACTGTTGGGCCTCCTGGGAGGCCCTCGTCGCCATGTGTCGCCTGCACTGGCGGAAGGAGACACATGTAAAAACACGTAGGTCCGCGCGGATGTGTGAGCGTTTTTTATTCATTGTTTTGCCGTTCGGCGCGGGCCCTCGCACCCCCCGTACCCCCCCTCATGGAGTGGATCTTGGCGGCTGTTTTTGGGCGCCTGTTTCGAGCAGGTGAAATCTCCCTCGTAAGACGCACGGTTCCAAACAGTCGCACTAAACAGAGGTCCAGAGCCAGGCCCCCCCTTCCTCCCCCTTCCCCCTTACGCCCAATGTCGAAACGCCGAATAAGAAACGTTGACTTTCGTGGATCTGCGCTGGGCCCCCGGTCCCTGGTGCGCGGAGCGCGCCAGGGGTTTTGCGCCAGAGGTGCCGCCACGAAGCCCCAGCGCCGACCCGAGGAATCCGCGCGGACCTCCGAATTTTTGTTTGTTTTTATGTCTGTGTCATTGTTTGGTATTCTATGCGCCCGCCCGCCAGCTCCAGCTGCTAGCAGCCGCCCTCCCGCCACCCTTGCCACCGTGGTTCGCCACGGCCGCCCACCGCGCTCTGGCCCTGCGCGCCTGGCTGCTGCTGCCCCCTCCCGGCTGCTCATCGTCGATCTCTTCGGCGCCTGAGCGTCCCTGCTTCTTCTCGGCTGTCCCCCCCTTTTCTTTGCCCGCCAGCCAATTCGCTAGTTGCTTCCCCTTTCGAGCTCCTCGCTGGAGCGGAGTTCGCCGCCTCGCCGCTGACGGACAGAGTTTGTTATCCGACCTGAGGGCACTCCACGCACTGCCTCGCGGTCGGGTGGCGGATATTTGCACACATGCAGCGCTACACCTGCCAGTGGACGCACACGTGCAGAACTAGGTACGTAGAGGGTTGCCCGTATATACTACTCAGGCTACATGGTGCTCGTGTGCTAGCCAGCAAGTGCTTACGATACCAGCGTTGGCAGGGTTGATCAAAGCGCGATTTGCAACCCTGGCACGACAGTTTTTAAGTCCCGCCCACGCTCAGAATCCACGGTGGGGGCCGACTCCTTGTCAGGCGTATGCTGATCGCATGCGTGGTGGTGTCTGGGGTGGCGGCATCGAGATGGCAGTGCTGCACCGGATGTACAACGTGAACGTCCACGTTTACGAGCGCTGCCGTGAGGGGTTCAAGAGGACGGCCGCCCGATGTGTTGTTCTTTGACCGTTTCCGTCACCTTTTCTTCTTGCTAGCTTCGATTCGGTGCCGTCTTGCTTCCTTCAGCAGCATCCGACTTGTGAATCCCCCCCTCCGCCAGGGAGACAGATTCTTGCCGTTTTTCCTTCTCCGGAGTTTTCGACTGGCACTGGCCCCCGCTTCCCCCAGCGGGGTCATTTCTCTCTCCAAACGGGGCTAGGACGAGGATCATTCCATTCTAGAGCGTTCTGGGAGGTTCTCAGAGTGTTCCGGGGCGCTTTGAGAAGGCCGCGGCGCCCGAGACATCCTCCGGAGCCGCCGGACCTCCAAGATTCTCGATCCCGTCCTCACCCGAATTTGCCCCTTCTTCCTGGCTTCGTCTTACCTCTCTCCCTGGTCGGCCTCCCGTTGGTGCAGGGATCCCCCCCTTGCCCTCGCAGCCTCCCTTGCTCTCAAGCTCAGGAGGGAAAGAAAAACGCACACACAATTAATCGGCGATTCCCCAGAAAATATGGAAAAAATATGGGCAGTGGGGGGGAAAACAGAAACTCAGAAGATTAGAAAAATATTGGGATTTTGTTTTATTTGTGTGTATTTCTTTGTGTGTCCCAGGGCCCCTTCACAAGCAGCCTCTCGGCAGGCGCCCCCGCGCCATGCCCTTGCTGGTCCAGGCTGCAGCCTGGCCGCTGGGGCTCGGGCACCCTCCACCTCTCTCTTATGTCGGGCGTGTCCCCCAACACGGGGATTCTCGACGAAAAATCAAACAAATACACCAAAAATGCCCCCAAAGGGTCAACAAATATCCAAAAAATACTCCCCAGACTATTTTTGGATTTGATTGATTATTGTTCGGGGTGCTTTTTAAACAATTTCGTTGGAAATCCCCCTGTATGGGGGACACGCCCGACATATGCCTTCTCTCTCTCCGCCTGCCTCGCCCTCTCAAAAGCATGCTCGTCGCGATTGCCTCTGGCGCTCTCTGGTGCAGTCAGCCCGCGTGGGGATGATGGGCGGCTTGCCACGGGTTAGCTTAAGTGGGGCATGTCCTTCTGCAAGAGGAATATCCAAAACGTGTAGAAAAATAGTGGGGTGACGATTTTCGATTCTTCTTGACTAGTTTCGATGTGTTTTTTACCTGGTTTGGTTTGTCCTCCAAAACCCGCCTGTTGCAGGACATGTGTTTTTGTTGCACCCTTCCCCTTCGGCCCAGCCTCGGCCGCTTGCGCTGGCCGCGCCCCAGCCGCAAGGTGCCGGCATGGCCTTTCTGGGCTCTTGCATCCTCCTCGTGCGTCCTTTTGCACGGGGTGGCTGTAGCTTCCAATTCGCCCAAACGCGCTCTACTACTTCTTCTTCTTCTTCTTCTTCTTCTTCTTCTTCTTCTTCTTCGGTCCGCAAACACCTTCCAGCACATGTCTTTCGTCCGCCACTCCAGGGCCGCACAGCATCTTGGACGATTTGCTCCTTTGGCTCCTTTCCCTGGCCGACGGAGGTGGTTCACTCCACGCCCATCGACGCATTCATTTTGACTCCATTGGACCATGAAGCCCTCAGCAAAATCGTTCCGAGGTGAATACGTACACAACGCCAAATTGTCAGGAATGTTTGCGAGACGATCTGTTGATGGGGTCAGTGCAGATAGGACCAGGGTAGGCCCGTTGACTACAGCCATGGGCCCACCGAGGATATCGGCGTTCGACAGCAAGGCTGCGCGACACACCGTCGGTGTCCTCTACCAGGGCAGGAACCACTACGACGCCATTGTCATCTCCCCTCGGGCGCGGGGAGGGGGGGGGAATACACCGGGCAGCATCTGATCGCATGCACCCTTGTCGTGCGAGACGCTGCGTGCGGCGCCGTGCGCGCGTGCTCGCTTGCAGGCGGGATGTCGGCAGGTCTTGTGCCTTCTGCTGCCGTCGGCAGGCAGCCCTGGGGTCCGCAGAAGCTCGCGGCCCCCTCCCAGTCCGCCGGGAGACCGGTCGGAACGTGTCGATAAGTCTTGGGGCCAGGTGTTAGAAGAATTGCCACGTAATCGTTTAAGATTGAAGACTTACCCCTTTTATCCATCGGTCCCCCCTTCCCCCTTTAGTAATAATTCCCCTCTCATCCTTGCCCTCCTCCTTCTCCTCGGTCTCGTTTCCCCTCTCCTTCCTCACGCTTCCTAATGTTTCAACTTCCCGCACGTTTCTCGCCTCCCCGTCGTAGGACACGCCCGCATGATGCGGTGGTTCTATATTCCGCTGTATGTTTATCTATATGTGGACATATATATATATATATATATGTTTATTCTAGTCTGTAGTTGTTGTTTTTTGTTTTTCTCTCTCTCTCTCTCTCTTTTGGCTTGTTGTTGCCTCTCCTTCTCTATCCCCCTTTTATGTATCTATGTATGACAAATGTGTATGCGTGTATACTATCACAGATCATGTTTTCTACCTCTCTCTCTATCTCAGCCTCCCTCATTTTTCCTAGAGGTGCAAGCGTCCCATTTTGCCATCGCCATTCGCCCATTTCTCTCCCCGTGCCCCCTCCTTCTCCTTTCTGCCCTCCTGTCCTCCTCCGTTGGTCTCCGGCCCGTTCAGGGCATCACACTCGTTGGGGTCCCACGTGTCCCGCGAGGGTCGAGCCAGGTATGTCGCGAAACCTATCAGGCAGGTCGGGCGGGCGGAGCCTGACGGTCTGGGCGAACGGGCCGTTCGTCCCTGTCATTGGTTGACGGTGATGGTTTAAGTTTGTCTAGTCATGTATTTCTGACCGTAGTCGCGAGATGCAGTGCGACGTAGACGAGTGCAGACCACGACGCGATTGATGTATGTTGCTCCGATCGGCCTGTCGGACCTGTGTAGTGCAGTCTCGTAGCGCCCGCTGCTGGGATCTCCACACGGTCAGCTACCGCTGAGCAGGCATCCGACCGGAACACAGCATTTGAGCCACACGCTTGAAAAAGAGCAACGGCACAGCCATACTTCGGAGGCCCAGCGGGTTGCTGCGTTGGCGCTGGACAGCCCCCCCGGGTTCCTTCGGCGCGCCTCGGGACGTCGCCGGAGGCGCCGGGGCGTCCAGTGCCGACCCAAGGAATCCGCTCGGGCGTCCGACAAATCATTTGTGTGGCGCTAGTTCTCGGAGGCGGATGGACCTCCTACCCCGACACGTCGATTGAGGAAGAGGCCGTTTTCGGTTCGCGAGAGGGCGTCGCGGCCGTCATTTTTGCGGGTCCAGGTCCGTCGGTTTCGGTCCCAGGCCGTTTTTACTGAGGGGAGGTTTGCTAAAGGGAGGTTTGCCCACCGCCGATAATTCATCCATGTATGTATCACCTTTATTCCTGGTTATATATAATCTAATAAACTAATCCATTAATTCGTTATCTAGTTAATTTCAAGATAGAAGCACCAGAGACGTCGCCGGAGGCGCCAGGGTTTCCAGTGCCGACCCAAGGAATCCGTTCGGATTTTCCACAGTTTTCCTGTATGGTGTAATACGGCAGGGGGGAACAATTAGTTGACACTCCCCAAACCCAAAGTTGGCACGCACGGGGGAGACTGCGGTCGAAGTGGAACTCATCAGACCCACCGCCAACTTTGAACATTGTGGACAGGGGGAGGCGTTGACCCATGAATGTGGCATGCGTGTTCGCTACTTTTTCTGAGGCTTGGATGACTGGCTTGTCGATGGTGCCCTTGCATCCTTCCCTTGCGCCTCAGGCCATGAAGAAAAGGTCCCTTTAGGGCCCTTTTATCCACCCCCCACTTGGGTCACCCCACATCAGCACTCGTCCAAGGGTTGAAGCCCTGCGCGCCGCCCCCGCGACCCCCGACGATGACGACCGTCGTCGTCGTCGTCGTCGTCGTCGTCGTCGTCGTCGTCGTCGTCGTCGTCGTCGTCGTCGTCGTGGATCTCGACCTCCCAAGGGGTTTGCTGAAGGTGCCCCTGGCCCACAGGTGCTTCCAGCTTCTCGCTCGATCCTGGAGCTCCTGGGGTCCCCTCTGGGCCTCGTGGGGGCTGGTGCGGAGGTCCTGGGGGGGGCCTCCCTGGAGGTCCCGGGGACACCTTGGGCCCGGGGCACTTCCAGCAACGCCCGAAGCTGGACTCGGCCTCCCGATCCGGGTGCCCGTCCTCCCTGCGACAGCGGCGCGGGCGGTCAGGGGAGGCCCGATGACGCGGCGCGGTTCCAGCCCCGCGCACGCGCCGCCGGCCAGCCGCGGCCGCGGGGGGGGGGCGTGTTCCCAGCCTCTCGTGGGGCACCCAGCGGCTTCGGCAGCCCTCTCGAGGGGGCCCGTCGACCCGACGGGCTCACGGGGCCCCCCGAGTTGGGGGCTGCAGGGCGCGAGGGGCGCATTTCGGCCCTGGTCCTCGCATCCGCATCGGTCCCGGCCCTCGCCATCGGCCCCCCAGCTTCGGCCTCTGGCCACACAGCAGAGAAGGGTTGGCAGGTCGATCCTGCCATGCCAAGCTCGAACTGGGCGCCCGGGGCCCTTGCATCCGCATCGCGCATCCTTCTGCCACGGGCCGTCTGTGGCCCCGGGCTCGGCCCCAGCCTGCAGCCGCCCTGGCCCTGCAGCCCTACAGCCCTCGGCCCTCGGCGCAGCGGCCCCCCCCCCGGCCGTGGCTGGCTGTCCCGCACTCCACCTCTGCCTGGGCCGCCCTGCGCGCGCCATCGGGGGCGGACAGAGCCCCCAGCAGTGACGCGTCGACTAGTGAAGTGTCCGTTTTCGGTTCTCGAGAGGGCGCCGCGGCCGTTCTTTTCCAGGCCTGCGCCCGCCAGGTTTGGGCCCTGGGTCATTTTCACTAAGCCGCGTTTTACTCGGGGGCGGAAAAGAGGGGGTGATGACTAGGGGGGGGTGGATATCATGGCGGGGGCCATGATATTCCCTCAGATTTCATGGCGCCCCTTCTTATTTCATTACGTCCCTGGCCCCCCCGCTGGGCCGCGCACATGCCGCCGGTCATGATTTGCACCCCCCCCTCTTGGACACTCCCCTCTTGGCCGCTCCCGATTTACCGAAGGGAGGTCTGTCCATCCCTGGTGCCAGCCTTGCCGCCGCGGCCCCCGCTCGCGCACTTACAGTGAGAGAGGCGCCGGCGCCGAAGGGGGCGCCACGCCCTCTGCGAGCTCGGCCGCCGGGGCGCGCGCGCCCTCGGGGCGGCGGGCTCCTGGAGGCAGGGGCAGCGCCGGGGGTCCAGCAGCGGCGAAGCGTCCCGGCTCGCCGGTAGCCCCACCGAGCAATGCTCTAAGAGCTTCTTCGGTGGTTCCCAAGGAATGTTCTTAGAACATTTCTGGCTGGGGCTGTCTTGTGTTAGCGCATCGGGTTTGTGTTCTAAGAACATTGCTTTTGTTTTTCGAACATTTTGGGGTTCTAAGAACCTTTCGTGGTAGGACTATAGGAATGCCATGCCGGGACGGTCGGTCCCTGCTCAAGGGGGGGGGGTCTTGGTTCGGGCTCGAGCACACGTTCTCCACCGCTAGGCTGAGGTTGTCTGGCGTTTTTTGTCGTCGGTCCTCGGCTGCTCTCTCCTCCAGCCTCGGGCTGCCCTCCGGCGGCCGCGCCTCGCCGAGGGCGCTCCGGGAGCGCTCGCGCGCATCGTCCTCTCCACGGCCGCCAGAGGCTGGAGGCCTGCTCCTCCTCCTCCTCCTCCTCCTCCTCCTCCTCTCCTCCTCCTCTCTCCTCCTCCTCTCCTCCTCTCCCCTTCCTCCTCCTTCCTCCTCCTCCTCCTCCTCCTCCCTCCTCCTCCTCCTCCTCCTCCTCCTCCTCCTCCTCCTCCTCCTCCTCTCCTCTCCTCCTCCTTCCTCCTCCTCCTCCCTCCTTCTCGCCGAACGAGCAGGGGTGACGTCGGCGGGGGAGCGCCCAGGGCGGGGGCGCATCGACCCCCCAAAGCGCCCCGTCGCCGCCGACGGGGTCCCGACAGCCCACCCCGCCCAGGCACGCGGGGCTCCGCCGTCGGGGGCCCATTGCCGAGCCGTCGGCGCGCCGTGCCGCCGACTCCAGCTCGACGGCGCAGTGCCGACAGGGCCTGGGCCAGGTTAGGTTTGGAAGTTCCCCCTCCTCCTCCTCCCCTCCTCCTCCTCCTCCTCCTCCTCCTCCCTCCCCTCCCTCCCTCCTCCTCTCTGTCCCTCCTCCCTCCTCCCTCCTCCCGCCGCCCGCCTTCCCCCCTCCCCCCGGAGCCGGCGCCCCCTGGCGCTTCCCCCGTCACGGTGCCCGCCCCGCGGTGCATGCTGTTTTCTCGTGCCTCTCATCTGCAGGAGGCAGGCGATCGCACATATGGATTGAGGCGGCGTGGACTGGCGACGGGTCCCGCTTCCATGGGAAATCCTGGATTTCCGCCGCTGAGCGAGGCGGCACCGGCCGCCTTTTGAGGAGGGCACCTCTCCCGATCCATGGATGAGGCGACCGCGCGCCAGATCCATGGATCGCTGATCCATGTCTGCGCGCCTCCGAAGAAGGCATCTGTGCATCGCCGCGATGCCTGGCCAGAGCCTCCGCGGGCCCCAGGACGGCGTGCAGACCCTGCTTGCCTCGGCCAGGCGGGCGCGCACGCCACGCCAGGGCCCAGGTTGTGGCCCTGGCCGGCCACGGTGGTGTGCGCGTGCCTCCTGCGCGCGGTACAGGAGCCAGACGCCGGGGCAGCAGCGATTCTACCAGCGAGGGAAGCGGCCCAGGCGTGATCGCGTCGTAAAGCCAGCAGGACGGGAGGCTTCGCGCCAATTTCCGTCTCGGGGGGCCCTCGCCGGACCTCGGGGCCCAAAAACGACTCCGGCCGAGAATCCGGTCCCGGGGCAAGGGTCGGCACTTCCAGAGATCCGTGTTGAAAATTCAGGACGTCGCATGTTCGGGGGTACGCACGGACAGCACCGCAAGGTGGGTGAGATGAAGGAGGCGGAGCGACCTACGGGGCCACGCTGCGTGTGAGTTGTGTGTGTGTGTGAATGTTTGTGTGTTTTTGTGTGTTTGTGTGTTTGTGTCTGTGTGCGTGTGCATCCGTGTGCGTGTGCGTGTGCGTGTGCGTGTGTGTGTGTGTGAGAGAGAGAGGGTGAGTGTGAGTGTGTGTGTGAGGGTGAGTTTTTGTGTGTGCGCGTTCTCGTTTGTGTGTGTGTGCGTGTGGGTGTGCGTGTTCGTGTGCGTTTGCGTGTGTGTGTGTGTATGTGTGTGTGTGTGTGAGTGTGTCTGTGTGTGCGTTCGCGCGTTCGTTCGTGTGTGTGTGTGTGTGCAGCTCCCCAGTGCGCCTATGGCGTACAATCAGGCGGACGGGGTTTAAGCAGTTAGCCCTCGAAACTTTTTACCTGACTGCGCGGTCTACCGGGCATGTGGACTGCAGGCGAATCGAACACGTGGTTGCCCTTCCACCGACCTTGACTGCAGACAACTCGCATCAATCTGACATGTCACTTTCTCTCTCTGGCGATGTGCGCCGCGTTCACATTCTGACACATGTTTGCCAGGGTAGCGAATACCACCAGCACTGCACGGCAAAGTGGCGACTCCGTATTGCTATCCTGCGAGTAAATTAAGGCCACCCGCTCTGGACCGCCTTCGGAGTGAAAGACGCCGATCACCCGCCGACAGTGAACGTGCATCAGGGGCGGCAGCAGGATCGGCAGCAGAAGCAGGGCTGGCGGGACGCGGACAGGCAATTGGGAGAGGGAGGCGCTGAGGGGAGGCGCTGAGGGGAGGCGGTCCGCGAGCATGAGTGCGAGGTCGAGCACCAGGGTGGAGGAGGGGGGGAGTCGCAGGGGCTGCGGGAGGAGGTGGAGAGGGAGGAGGATACGCGCCGGTCGCTGAAAGTAGGTGCTTTTGGATTCCCGGATCCCAATCTACTGCAAGCGCCTTCCTACTTCAAGAGTCGACGCGCTTTTGCTGTGGTTTGTTCTTCTCTGGGGGGGGGGCTGGACCCAATCAACTTCATCCGCCTTCCTACTTCATGTTCTTACCTACTTCTTCCGACCGACGAGTCAGGTCGCGAGGCAGGGGGAGGGGGGGGCCTGGTAGGGGGGAGCGCCGGCGGCTCTCGCGCGCGGCCCTGGGGGCGAGCCGTGCTCGCAGGCCTACCTCGGAGGTGGATAGACCTCCCACCCTGACACGTCGATGAAGGAATTGGCCGTTTTCGGTTCGCGAGAGGGCGTCGCGGCCGTCATTTTTGCGGGTCCAGGTCCGTCGGTTTCGGTCCCAGGCCGTTTTCACGAAGGGGGGGTTTACTAAAGGGAGGTTTGTCCACCGCCGACTACCCCTGTGCGCATGCTTCCTCTAGCTCTGCGGGAGCGGCACGCTGGCACCGCCCTGCTCGCCCAGTCTGGCCGCGTGGGCCCCCGCGCCGCGCGCGGGCAGCAGGTCGTGGATAGGCTTGAGTGGGGCCTGTCCCTCTACAGGGGGGATATCCCAAAAAAGTCAGAAACTAGTCGGGGGACGAGTCTTTGACCATTTTTGACAATTCAGCTGCGTTTATTTGAATTTTTATTTTCCACACAAAATCCCCCTGTAGGGGGGGACAGGCCCGACTTAAGGATAGGCCCACCGCGCACGCCAATTCATGGGGCCCTCATGGCGCTCACTGCTCTGGAGGGCCGCCTCCAGGGCCGCCTCCACGGCCGAGCGTTGCCTTCACGACTGCCCTCCTGACCCGCTCCCCACACAGACATCCTGAAATAGCCCGGCGTCCTTGTGTTTGTTCACGACGCGGACCCCCCTTCCCCCCCGGGGCCGTGTTCTCGTCCCCCGCCGCTTCCGTTGGCGAACACGCAAAACAACTGTCCGTCGTGGTCTCTCGCAACGCGAGGCGGCGTGGGTGTGTCCATCTCTAGGTCAACAGGCCCGGGCATCCTTCCCACACTGCCATTTCCGGTTCTGCTGTGTTCGGCTCCCGCTCCTTCCCGAGGGTTGCTCTCTCTAGACAGCGGGGCGGATGGACAGAATCTCCCCCCGACGTTGCGTGGCGTGGCTCCTCCTCGGATCGAGGCGGGTGCTCCTTAGATCTTTCCGTGGCTGTCCCTCCTACCTCTGCCGCTCATCGTGCACCCAGGTGCTCTCTCGAGCATGCATCGGCTCCGTCGTCTCTCCTTCGGCGTTCCTGACGGTACAAGCTTGCCTGCAGGTGGCGAGCGCCTCGGTGTGTTTGGGTCGCCGTTCGACGGGGAATCGACGTTTCCCAAACAGTGCTTACACTGAAGGGGTCCTAGAGGATACTGAAAGATTTGGCGAAAGTGTCCCGCCGACTTTGGTAGCCGGCTGGGTTCCCAGGCTCCCGGTTCCCGGGCTCCCAGGTTCGATCTTGGTTCTTGGATCCGGGCCGAGTTCGGGGGGTTCTGGGCTCCCGGGGTCCCTGAGGTCAGGTCGATGGCAGTCCGGGGATGTCCTCTCGTGTAATTGAGCCTATATTTGCAAGAAGAGGGGCCTCGTTCCCTTTTCGACGGTCCCTTAGGTCCACGCCTCGACTGCGTTCTACAGTCAACGCGCCTAGTAAGGACGCGCGCCTTCATCTAGGGTACCCTTGTGTCCTTGCCTCTGAGGCCCGTCCCTGCCATTATCACTGGTCGCCCGCCGCCCTAAAAAACCCAACTTCGGCCTCCAAGGGCCTTGCGTCCTTACCGCCCGTCCTTAATACACGTTTTGACTGTACCTCCGCCCCGTCCCTCGACGGAGGGCGCAGGCGAGGGCGGCAGCCGTGGGCGCCCAGGATCCCCTCGCAGGCGAGCGCGTGGGCCACGCTGGCCGCGTGAAGCCCAGGAAAACGCCCGCCCGGCCGCTCTTCACCGCGGGTCGTGCCGCGGGGGGGGCGACGGCGTGGCATGGCGAAGCCCCCACAGACACTTGTTTTTTGATCCGCGGGTCGAGAGCGCACCTCTTCTGGTCGAAGCTAAGCGGGCCGCCCGAAGCTTGAATTCACAAAGAGGGGGGGACAGAAGGAGAGGCCTCACGTCAAGGCCAGGAGGAGGCAAAGCCTCGGGATCAGGCGGTGCCGAAGACGATGTGCTTGCAAAGGAACGCCTTGGACAGGAGCCCGGAAGAAGCAAAATGCTTTGGCTGGTGGTGCCGTCAACGGCTCATCATGTACACCAGCCTCGAATGGCGGCGGGAGAGGACGCGCCTTGTACCCAAGCGGCGTCGACCATCCCCCGCAGACGCACGCAGCATGACTAGGGGAACGAACAGCGACATCAAGAGAACGACTCGGAGGTCCGCGCGGATTTCTTGGGTCGGCGCTGGACCCCCCCTCCGTGGCGCGCGGAGCGCGCCCAGGGTTGCGCCAGAAGCGCCGCCAGGGGGCGCCAGCGCCGATCCGAGCAACCCGCACGGACGTCCGAGTTTTCGTGTTCATGTCATTGTTAACCCGGAGAAGTAATTAAGAACCCCTCCCCTGTCTTGCGAAAGAAAGTATACCGCACCAAGCACCCCAGAAACGTTACCCTGGCACCTGGCACCTTTATGTGAACGCAAACGAGTCCGCTCGCCGAAACAAGCACATTCTTGCAATCTGACTTCCTTGTGGTTCTGAAACAAGCGCTTCGCCTGAGACGTCCTCAGAAACTATAATTATTATAAGTATTATTATTTAATCGCTTCGCTCATTCCGCCGGCCCATACAGTCTCATGTCTGCCGTTTGCCCGAGGGCCTGGTGTCAATGCGGCGCTTTGGGGGTTCCTGGGGCCGCTTGGGGGACTCCTGTGGCGCTCGGGGGGGCATTTGGGGGGCCTCCTGGGGCCGCTTGGGGGACTCTTTGGGGCCTCCTGAGGGCCTCGTGGGGGCCTCTTGGGGCCTCTTAGGGGCCTCTTGGGGCCTCGTAGGGGCTTCTTAGGGCCGAGGGCTCGAAATGTTGTTTCGTGCTCCCTCTCTGGGGCCCCTTTGACGGCGTTCTTGGGGCCCTCTTGGACCGTCTTGGAGGCTTCTTGGGCCGTCTTCGAGCCCTCTTGGGCCATCTTGGGGCCCTCTTGGGGGCCTCTTGGGCCCTCTTGGGGCGATCTTGGGGGCCTCTGGGGCCGTCTTGGGGCGTCGGGAACCGAAAAGGTGGAAGCTCCAAAATCTTTCAAACACCTAAGGAAA